TCCACAAGAAGACAGTGCCAGGAATATACTCGCAATATTGCAGTGGCATACAGTAGAGTAGCTCTGTGTGAAAGTGACTTTTGTATCTTAACGATTACGATACCGGTGTTACAGGTTGCCAACGACGGATTTCCTGATGGGAAATGGAAGTGAGTTCTTACATTACTCGATAAAATACATATTAGTGAATCTGCACTTTGTGATAAGAATGTAATTCAATAGAACTTAAAAATGTTTTGATTTCATAAAACAGTAACCAGATATGAATGCAGGTGATTCAGATTAAACAGAAATATCAAATTTGGTACTTTAATCACTTATGGAAGATTATTTTACATTGGATTATTTTTTAAATTGCTGCTTCTTTGTTATGTTTGTCAACTGATCTAACGGTAACAGTGAATATGATGTACAGTACCGTACAGTACAGAAATCTTCCAAAAATCTTCTCAACTTGGGGGTCGTCTTGTATGCAAGTACACGGTAGTCAAGTTAATGGTCTATACATAGAATAGGTCTATACATAGAATAGGTCTAGAAAAAAAAATACACAAAGAACAGAATAACATGCAGAGAGTTTCTCAAGTTAGTTAGCAAACCAGCTGGGGTGGAGAAGCTACATCACTAATCAGCAGAACAGTAGTAAAGTGGTAGTAGTAGTAGTACTTCTACTACTACCGGTACTTACTACAGTAGCCACCCAAAATATCAGTAATGTAACCTTAAAAGTTATATTGATAATTAGATTTCTCATTCAAGAGAACTATACATTTACATCCAAGTAATTTAAGGATTTTAAGCCTACATTCACTGGTAGAAATTTAGGAACACTCAAATTCTATAGGAATTTTATTATTTAAATAGTGTTTGGCCAGAAAAAAATAAGTGGCAGTATGCGTAATTTACGAAGTATGCAATTTGAATATTGTATTGTATTGTTGCTGTTTGTTGGTGCAACATAGACAGACAATAAGCCTGTCTTCAAGCTTTGAGAGTAGACTTTGACATGTCTTATTTGAGAGTTGGGTATATGAATAATGACTACCAGCAGAGGTCGACACAGGGGACAGAGTTGAGGACAGCTGGTCTTCATTTTGAACATAACAACGTGATGTTCACAACGTAAACAAAATTTGATTTTACCACAACTGAAAACAAAGTGTACATACTTTATGATCTTTGCAGACATTTTACATCAAATATGATAGAGAAATAAGAGCAGGAGGCATGTATGCCAATTAATATCAGTCTTTCTTTTGAAGGACATGTCATAAAGGCTTATACCATCATTTTTCTTTTGAATTTTCTATGTACAACAGAGGGGATTAAGCAAAAAATAAAACTGATTTATTCTCATTTAGAATGTAAAATATTTATATATATTAATCTATATTTTATATTTTTTTAAACTAACATTGCATACAATACAAAATTTTAATTTTCTTAATTAGATTTAGAGCTTCTTATAGTATTAGTAGGCCTATAGTAGATGTGTTAGTGTTCCATATTATTAAACACCTTTTCCTCCCAGTTTTTAATATTTGAAAATTCTGTATCTTTCAGCCATTTTGGTTGTTTCTTCTTACACCTCTACAATATCTTAGAAAATGTATTTCTACAACATATCATTTGTTTTCCAAAGCCTACAGTAGCTCTACAATGTTACAATGTTTTTTTACTTGCTGAGTCGGCCAACGATTCGTCTATGTCTAATGTTTGTTCTCACTGATTTTAAGCTCTAAATTTAACTAAAGCTTTTCATGTTAATGTTTGTCAATTCACTAAGTTGGTCAAAAGTGAAGAAAGCAATTTGTGTGCTAAAAATATCCCTTTCTCATGAAAAGCAAAACATGATTATGATACTTTCATTTTGTATGACTATCATTGTAGCTAGACAAATTGAAGAACTACAGTAAACCTATTTCCTTATATTCTTGATTAACTTTATATTAGACCTATAGATCTACCTTTTAATAATGAATTACACCGTAGCTAACAATATTACCTTATAAGAATGTTATAATAACGTTACAGTTTGGTGTTAAAAATGTTATTTTGTAGAACTTAGGTTAAGTACTTAATTATAACCTAATTTCACAATAATAACAAACACTACTTTGTGACATACCAAACTACAACGTTTGTAAACGTTATATAAGAATGTTTTGTGTTTGCTGGGACCCTACTTTACCACAAGTATAAATGATGCATTTAATATTCAATTGGTAAGAAATTACTATGCGTAGTCTTGAATGTTTCTTCTTAAAATTCAGCACAATGACGCTGCAGGTGATGGGTTAGGCTCCTACCTCTACCCTCTTAAAAATACTATATGTTGAAACAAATCTAATATATGGCAAGCCTATCAATTCCCGTTAATTTTTTACTAATAGTCTTTGTGATATTCAAAGACAGTAGTGTCTGTCTGGTGGCCAATTGCCTTTAAAAGAAAGATGGCTATCATTAATAATAATAATGATTTATAAATATTAAAATTAGCTATTTATGGGTTATGGTATAAATTAATTAATGAATTGAGTGTAAGTATTAATAGGATTTTATAGCTGTAGGATGAAATCAAATTTTTAAATGGGAAATAATCCATAGCCCGAATTACTACTATAGGGCTATCTTTGATTATACTTTCTGATTCTTCATCCTGAAAATTAGATTAATCCATTATATAGATGTAGACACTTTTGGGATTTCCCCAAAAGTGATGTGCGCGAGGGTGATAAACTAATAATTTTTTTAAATGGGGCCTTATGTCTTTTGGAAATCATATTGATGGTATGGTACAAATGAAAATATTTTGTTAGTTTATCATCATGAAGAAGTACAATATTTTCTTCACACTGTCTTTGAAGGGCATTCAACTACAGAGTGTGTACTGAACTCAGGTGAATTGTTATGTAAAGGAGAAACTTTGCACAGTGCAAGTTATCCATGTACATTCCTGTATGCTACATCTTATAAACTGTTTGTTTTTATAAGGTTTATTTTGAGTTGCTGTATAGGATTCAACTCATCTCATAGCATTAACGGAGGCTATTGGGCTTTTTGCAAAAGTAAAACAAATGAACAAGATCACTCCAAGTTCAAATTTATTTAGTAAATACTTTAACCTGGGCGGTGACTAAAATATGTAGGTTTTAGCTGCATGGAAATTCCTGGTTCCAAAATAATTTATTAAAGGTAAAATTTATTACTTATAGTTTATATTCAATAATCAAGCCTTCATAATGTAAGATATTGCCACCCACAAAAATCAAGATGAAATGATTAACAGTAGGCCTATAATAAAATAAACCTAACATTTGAGCCTGGGATGGATGCAGGAGTTGCAGACGGTGCGATCGCACTCACTAAATTGTATTAAGAAAAATAATTGTTCTATTGTATTTTTGATATGAATTACCGGGAGGATTTTTAAGGTATGAAAGTACAATTTCCGGGCACCACGTACCCCCTACCGTCAAATTCTGTATCCACCCCAGTAAGCTTCTATACCCCTCAGTTCATTGTTTCATTTAAGCAGACTCAAGTTAGTAAAATGCTTCTCCGTAACCATGTCTTCTAGTTTCCCTAGTAAATGAAAAAATTCCGTAGCACCTGATGATTTATGGGGCACTTTTCTGGGTTTTTACAATAATTGATCAGTAATCTGACAAGTCTGAACCCTAGGATCCGTGGGGATGATGATGGTGTCTTTGATTAGTTCCGTAAACGTCCATAATTAGGCAAAATTTCCGTAGCAACTACGGACGTTTTGTTGAACTTGAGAAGTCTGTTTAAGTAGAAAATGCTAGTGTCACAGTGGTTTGCCTAAGCATTGCTAAACGAATGACAGATGAAGAAATATATATATATATATTTTTTAATTTACAATGTACAGAAATAACATCACAAATTTATACTGTATGCATTGTGTTTGATATGACAGAAGTGGTTTCCAGGGTAGGGACAACAGCATATTTTTACCTCAGCCACATGTATAAAGTGCTGAATCTTCGCAGAACTGAAAGGTCCACTGATTGATATGGAATGTGTATTATACTATCTTTATAGAACTCTCACAGTACTTTTGAATTTGAAAAGATTCAGAACATATACATATGAACCTGTCTACTGTATAGCACATAATGTGATAGACAGTGTTTGGAAAATAATTCCCTTCCTAATTGGCAAGGAATGAAGGTGAAAGATGAAATGAGTACACCTATTCTGAAGCTTCTGGTGTTGATAAAGATCTTTGTTAATTAAAAAGTGCATAGCAGTAGTCAATCCTGAAGTAGGGCATGGACAACATTATGACAGGACGTGCCAAAATCAATGTCCTTGTGTAAGTGATACAGACCCTGAAGCAACTTCTATTAATTGACACTGATAGCTGAGTGACTGCTCTGACATCTTTATTTTAGGATCAAGATGTACCGTACTCCCAAGATTGCTAAAGAGAATGTGTGTCCACAGAGATTCACTGATGGTTGAGGTGCTGACAATGTGATGAAGAATTCTGTCTTCTTCTTCTTTGTCATTCATCTATGATTACATGTCTTTGATGCATGTTTTTGCAAGCAAGGAGCAAATTTCATTGCCAGGAATTATCCAAGCATATCTCTTCTTGTTTAGCATATAATTGGTGCATGTTTATGACCAATAAAGGAATGATTGATTGAGGGACACAAATAAATATGTTAGACAAAAGATAACTTATACAATTAGTGTATTCCACAAATATTCTGGAAGTTGTATAATTTTTATCAAAACATGGTGTTATCAGTTCTGTAGTATGTTCTCATATTGGGTTAACAAACAAAATGAATGGAAACCAATGATACATCCAATAACTTAATTTTTTTTTAATGTGCAATTCAACGTTTTATTAATTTACAAATGTTTCCAGATTGTATCATAGATGCAGTATGACTTTGTAATAAAAGTTTGTACTTTGGCTTCAAAATGTTGTCAGTGGGCCAGGAGTTGCAAAGTCATTTTGAAGAAATAATGAATATAACAGTTACAACAGTTATAACAGTTGTTACTGTATCTAGAGGCCTTGAACAAGTGTTTTGACAGAGCTTCAGGCTGTGGCTATTGTAATCAGCTAACTGCAGTGTTGCAAGATAAACTTCCCAATGTCTTCTAAACACTCTTATCTCTGTTGTGGTTAGGTTTCCATAATTTGTTTGGGGAAATCCCCAATCCAAAGCTTGTGGTTTTCACCTGAAGTGTTGAAATGGATAAATAATGGTTAATAGGAAAGTACTTCAGATTGGAGTACATATTTAGATATAGACCTACTCTACTCTCATTTTCGTTTTATACATTCATCTGAAGTAATTAATTTTACTAGGATTTATTTTCTTTCTTGAAATCGATACAACTTTTTTAAGACTCCATAAAATTATTATTAGTTTATCATTCCGGTCACACATGTTTGTTTATGTCCTGTTAATTTGGTAGCAAGCAGAGCTAATAGTTGGTGGTCTTATTAATTCATAACTCATTAGAGCTTCATTAGTCTTCATAATGTGCTTTGAAAACAGTAGACAGTCAGTTTATGCCAAAATTATGAATGTTTTCTCTAACAGAAGAAACAGAAACCATTAAAAGTTTAGAATTCTTGGTGAAAAGTTTATCACGTTGTACTTTGCTCCAACTTTGTTGTAATAATACTAAGAGTCTGTTCTCCACCTACCTTATATTGCTGTTTTATTTAATTTGTGTGAAATTTTCGTATTGAAAATTTGAATCCATTTATATACCAGTTCAAAGTCTAATTCAATTTAAATATTTAAATTTATAATTATACTAGAATGAAACTAGGCCTACCGGTATGTCTGTCTCTTCAAATGATTAGATTTCAAACCAATCGTGCAATATCAGTAAATTTCTTTCTGCTTGGAATATGGGATAGGTAAATTGCATTAAAAGGCTGGGAAGGCAGTTGGCATAGTGGTTGCTGTTCAGGTTTTCAACCTTGTGGTTCTGAGTCTTAGATACATACCTAAGTAGACCATTGTTGAAGGACTGCAAAAATGGTTCACGCTATGTTCAGCGTTAAATGCAAGTCGGCTACAACCCCTGGCTTTGTTTTGGGCACATACGATCAGGCTCATCCTTTGTAAGGCCTTGCTATAGTGTTCCCTTTGCCCTGTATTCTCTAATTTAAAAAAAATGATAACCTCATTATTAGCATATTGTATATTTGTTGTGTTTCTTTCAGGTGCTCTTGGCCCAGCTGGTAGTATTCCACCCTCTGCACTGTTGAGAGGTAATGTATCACATTAGGCATGCTTTTGTTGTGTTTCTTCAGGTTGTAAAACATTTATTTCACTTAAGAAAGTATAATACATACTCCAAGTATTGAAATACACGCCATCGTGTTGGGATTCAATATTTCGACATTAATTTTGTCATCATCAGGAATGATGATGACATAATTAATGTCAAAATATTGAATCCCAATGATGATGACATAATTAATGTCGAAATATTGAATCCCAACACGATGGCGTGTATTTCAATGTATGTATTATACTTTCTTATCTGAGATTAATCAGTGGACCTTTCGATTTATTTCACTGGTTTCTGTATTTATACATTTATGGTTCTGGGTTCTGGAAATCTTTCCAAAGAAATATAAAAAAAATATGAAATACTTGTTGATGGTTTTATTATTTTTTATCATCATCATCATCATCATTGTAATCACTGTTATTAAAATCAATACCGTGCTAACAACAAACTAACACCTACATCTTTCACCTACTACCCACTACCGCCAACATCTATCACCGCATTTTCCATTTTTGTTTGAGGTAAAAAACACCCAATTAATATTCCCATTTCAAGCCTCATAAAGATATTTATAAGCATTAAGGGTCCCTCGTTGCATGACTCAACCTTGTTAAATGTGGTACATCTATAAGAAAAAAAGATTTAATATTTTTTTTTAATGTAAACTAACCAATTAGCAGGTTTATTATTTGTTACAGTCAGTCACCCACTTTGAACTGCATGACTTCAAAATGAAACCACACACATCACCCAGAATTCACAAAATTCCATCCATTACTGCAAACTTCAGTAGGATTGTTTGCCAACCCATTCCATCCACCACATACATACTCATGACAGCTAATATATCGTGTACTACACACAATTCTGTTAACCCTTTACCCTTACCTCAATTTCTTCTAGGAGGACTGCTTACTTTTGACATTCCCAGTACATTATGTTTGTATGCAGGTTTTTAAACTCAATTTCCTGGTATATTCATATTCCTAACATGCTAATTACACCTTTATTACAAGTTAATGATCAATATAATTATGACATATTTCTTTTTGTAATTTATTTCTGGTTTCAAAGCATTTTTATTTCACAGTATGCCAGCAAATTTACAAGAGTATAGTAGAAATACTAGAAAAAAAATTTCTGATTTTGAGCTTTTTTATGGTTTTGTGCATTTCTATTCATTAATACTAACTTTTTTTCTTTTTTATGATTCAACTTTTTAAATAATCCACTATATGCTTAGCACAATACCATTTAGAAACAATTATAAAAGTAAGGTTATTGCACAATCTTTAACAGGTTGTAATGAAACTAAAATATTATCATCACCATTATCACTAATTACAGTATCAGTGATCAACACACCACCATCCTACCACTACAGTACTTGGCTTGGAGCATGTTTGCCCTGCCAGCATTCAGCTTTACAGGAGCCACAACAGGCAGCTTTATCCCACTCAATGTTGTATTGGTAATAGTACCTATTGTGTCATTAGTTGTTTGAATGAAATCTACCTGAGGTGCAAGAACTAAATCAACCCAAGATTACTATAAGCCGTATTGTATAATTATTTTAAAGCTGCTTAACCTCATGATTAAATAGTTGGTAGATTGTTACTCAAGAGAACTTGTTAATGCCAAAGATGCTTCCGATCCATTTACACTACCATTCTAACAAGATTTCTGTAACTTTTTTGCCTTTGGGATAATTTGATGTGGCGTTAGCTAATGTGCGGGAACTTTGTTTCTGCCTGATTAAATGCAGTGACCAAGTGCTTTCAGGTCCAGATTTACTTTTGAAATTTGATATCAAAGTTGCTTTGATTTTCACACCCATTGTATATACCTAGTTAGCAGCTTTGTGTTGATTCTTAATACCACTTCTGTTGAAGGTAATTGTGGTCTTTATGTGCTAAACCCCAGGTATTGTACATTGAATGTAGGTGTTTATATTAGACTCTGATAAAATCAATTTTTTGTGTTTTATATTGGTAAAATAAGGAGAAAATTTGAACAAAGCATCTGATATCAAACAATAAAAAAGGTACGGTATGTGTTTGGCTGACTTAACATTGGTTGCAAGCACTGAAAGCACACCATATTGCTCCGTTTGTTTAAAATTTAGCGCAAGGTGCATTACACAGGCAGTGTGCTATATGCTCTACTTCGCTACTTAAAACCCTTAAAACATTATATTTTAACCAGCAATACAGTGTATTGGTAGAGCAGCGTTTTGTGTATTAAAGTTACCATAGTAATAACAAATTAAAGCTGCGATCCAACCGGCACTTCCTCCTCACCCCAGTTGGTCTACCTTTGCACGCCCTTTCTCCCTATCCCCGTAGTAATTGGAGCCATATCTAAGAAGACTTGAAATGGGGGACCTAATGGGAGGTGAAGTTGGAATGAGGAGGCTTGATGATTGAGTGATGGGCACTAGGTCGCAAAATAGGGTAATTTTTAACTACTTGAAATGGGGCGGCACCAGCTTTTATTGAGGGTGGGCATCTCCTAGATATGCCACTGATGGCAATCCTGAATACGGCCCTGGCTATATAAATATATTACTATATCAGTGATTTTCATTAGTTAGAAAACATACCATTTTCATAACAGATAAATACAGTAGGTATTTCTCAAAAGTTCTGTTACTGATTTAATTCTATAAAAATAGTATTACCTAATGACAAGATGTGAGATTCAAATTCCAGGTGGAAAATTTGTTTTTCACTCATCACAGTGACATGGTAAACCAAAGAATTCTGGATTGGTAAAACTTTTCATCATTCTTTGGTGGGATGAAGAAAAATTATGTTAAAGCTGAACTTGGACAAAGTTTAACTCAATTAATATTTAACTACAAATAATGTAGTAGCAATTCACAACCACAATTGGTTAAATTTGCTGATACATGTACTACTCAATTTTTCAAACTTTAAATTTTCTTATTTTTGCACTGTGATGGAGGATATATTTGTAACTGTCATAAAATTCCTTAAGGTCATTCTTAATCGACATGACATGCTAAGAAAGAGCCTTATGGGTTATGATCAAAACATATTGACACCTTATTAGAAATTATATTTTTGTTCAGTATAAACCAGGACCTGATTTGAAATTTCAGTATCAATTCTAATATGAAATACTAACACTATGCTAAAATAATTTTTTGAAATATTTGAAATTAATTATAAAGCTGATATTTATCTTGCTTGAATCAGAATTCTTTAAATATTTTACAATATCCAAATTACACTTTTTTTTTACAAGAACACATTTTATAAGAACACTGAGGCTGAAATTACTTAAAAATTAAGAACAAAATAAGAACAAATTGAGGCTGAGGTAGAATGTCAAACTACAAAAACCAAAAAATTATATCTGTACCTTATGTGGGGTGTGACTATGCAATACCCTCTATAATACAGTACATTAGGTGTACCTACCTCCCATTTGGGGCCATTTTTTAACCAGGGCCATTTTTTATGTGCCTTTCATTCAGGGGCCATTTTTTCAAATTCAAAATTCAAATTCAAAATAACTTTATTTGCAAACTTAAGGAAAATTTGAAATATACAGAAAAATTGATAGTTATATACAAAATATAAATATGAAACATTTAAAATTCTCGTTTAAAAATCATCACGACACCTCCCAGTACAGTGTATACTGCTGTACAATAATAATTTTCTATGTTTGGAAAGTGTGCAAAATAAGAACAAAATAAGAACATTTTGAGCCTGAAATCTGTCAAAAAATAAGAACACTGAGCCTGGGCAAAATTTTACTGGTTCTTATAAAAAAAAAAAGTGTAGTAGACAAATACTGATATAAATGATTTTTTAGAAGTAATCTCTATTAGGCCAGTCTATTCAGAATGCTTACCTTATAACCCGACTTACCAAATGTTGCTAAATATTTAGGGTCAGTTCATTACTTGTAGGGGGTAAAGTGAACACACGAGGCCTAATGGAATTAACAGCGAAGTGATTATTGTTATACCGCTTGGAGTCTTTGTGCCTAACATTGGTTTCCACTCATATTACCAAGACAATAGAAGGAGATCCCATGTTTTAAAATTTCATATTTGTATTTTATGCCCTTTGGGTGTTTGTTCGGACCTCTCGGTGATTTTGATAATCAGTCACATATGAACAACCTTGTCTGTAGTGGATAAAAATATTTGAAAATTTTGACATGCATACTAACTACTTCGGGTGTCTCGTTTTGAATATGACAAACAAATTTTGGATTTAAAGTACAGTATTGTAGCTTCTCAGCTTGCTACCCGATTATATTCTTTTCGCTCAAAGAACACAGTTACACTCTTTGAAAAAGAATAGGCGATTGTTTCTCTGTGTACTGCTATTCACCACCAAGACACCATACATTTTCAAACCTCACAGTTTTCATGTAGCTCTTCAGATATATAATATTATGATATCTTTCCTTTTATAAAAAAATTAAATTCTGTTCCATTATTATTTTAAAATTTTTATTTAAAAATAATAATTTCTAGACTAACATTGGTGCTACATTAAATTACTATTTTAATATCAAATTGTTGCAGTTGTTATTTTTGTAGTGCTACAACTACCACATTGGTCTCCCCAAATGTTGAGGGTTTTCCCAATTTTTTAGGACATCCATCACATACCGGTACCATAAAACTTAAAAGTTGCCTGTGAGTTGCTGTTAATTATTCATTAAACTAAGCAACTCTTTAAAATATTTTCTCAAATTTTCAAAAATGGACTCTTTGTAAGACCAAATAAAATATATTGCTCCGCCCTCATCAGATTTTGGAGTTTCTTGAAAATTACCACTTGCAGTTTTTCAAAAAATGATTTTTTTTCCATAAAAAATTGAAAGCCTAGAGGTGGAAACATAAATGGCAGATATACATAACTAATATTAATTTTACTAATTTTATAAAAAAAAAAATTTGTTATTATTTACCAGCCTGTTTTACCACTAAGTTTAGTTAAGCCTGAGTTGTCATATTTCACACAAATTTCTGAGTACAGGTGCTATGATAAGTAACTGCCATCAGCTGATCAGCAAGAGGCCTAACCTTGAAATTGTTCTTGCCAGGTGCTAATCAGACAAGCCTCTTGTTTAATTAAGGCAGTTTTAAGACTGCTATTCCCACACGGTCCTCAAAAGATCTTTCTCGCTGATTGAAGATGTTCTACTATTTAATGTGGTACATGTTACTGTATTTTAAAATATAGTAGCAAGGGTTCAAGTTAGAAGAAGTCATTTCCAAGGGATCGGGTTAACTTTCTAAACACATGTAATTTGTTGATAATTGTGGCAAAGACAAGCCAAACCAGTCACTTGTTGCAAAAACCAATTTTTAGTTATTAATACAGGGTTAAACAGTAAAATGAGAGCTATAAAATGGTATAAGAACCATTTAAATCCAGCATTTCGTTATGAAGTTACAGGAGTTTAAACATATAGCTGTTTAAAGAACAATACTGTATTTGAGAAATCAGCCTTCAAAGTTCGTGATTTTGGGAATTTCTCAAGCAGAAACCATCAACAAATTGTTAAAAATTGTAGTTTTAACATTGAAAATGGACAAAATAACAGCATAACATGATATATAGATATATGAAGGTTAGTTTAGAGTAATAAAATAGATTTCAAAAAATTTGACATTCCAGCATGTTTTCACCATTATCTCTGAAACAGGATTTGTGACAATTAAGTGACAGGCTTGGCTTTTCTTTGCCACAATTATACCCATCTATTTCCAAAGAGAGAATACCAACAACTACAAATGAAAAATTTACACGTGACAGCCTTTATAAGCCTAGTCTAATACACTTTTTTTTTTAAAAATAAGAACCAATTTTGCCCAGTCTTAGTGTTCTCATTTTTTGGCCGATTTCAGGCTCAGAATGTTCTTATTTTGTTCTTAGTTTA